TCTGCGTAACACCAGTCATGCATTTCCACAATCCCCACATCAAGCCTCCGCAAACCTATGGCAATAAACCTCTGTCTTCGCAGACATGACGCAATGGGGAATCCACCACCTCTTGTGGCAAACCATTTCATTTCACTACCTGCAGCAGTAGTGGCTTCCGCTTTGCTGCCAGCTGAATTCAGCCACCTTTAACTTCTACCTCGTGGAGCTTTTCGTGACTTGAGTGCACCCTGCAGCTGTAGGAGGTTCCTGGGATAAACACGATGACTTCAGGCTTTCCCAAATTTGCCAATTTGAAACGTTCCCCTGAGCAGGGGAAATTACTGTATAACGGTGAAAACCTACTGGCACCAGTTTTATTTTTTCTTAGATTATCTCCTTCTTAGTCAACTACAGTCTGTGCAGAACCTGAAAAATCCTTTCCATAACAAGTATTGTTGCATCTTCCCGATATAGGTCTCTTATCCCAACCCTAGATCTGCATCAGAAAGTGACTGTCTCTGTAGCAATCCGTACACTGTTTACTTTCTGCCAAATAAGTTCACCAAATCTCTTACCACACAGGTTTACTACACTTCAAAATCAGGTAGCGGCTCCTTTCTGAGATGCTAGCAAAACACCCACACCGTTTTGCAAGCGTTAATATCCAAGCTTGAGCAGTTCCGCTACCAATTCCAGTAATGCCCCCAGCAGGGATACGGCTGCCTTTGTACTGCGTGTTCTCATACATCTGAGGACACTGCATTGCTGGGGGCTCTTGTCCATTTAGTTACACTTGTACTTGCGGACACGCTGCTTCTCACGGCGCGGCTTTCCGTCTGACACAATCAGTATCTTCTGCTCTATAAGCGTGACACTTAAACACGTTGTTTTCATATCAGACGTTAGGTTTATGAGCAATAATATCAAACTTTCGTTTTCAATACACGGGGGGGGGGGAATTGAACTTCACATGTGATTTAAAGGAACAATTGCCTTTACATTCCTGAAGAGTTCCCACTACTTAAACTACCCACACAATACTTTGATTCGTGACTTGAAATTTAGCCTCCCCGTCTGCCTTGCAACGCAAAACTCTCCTGTCAGAATTCAGACTTTCAGATGACAGTCCCGCAGAACCGTCCCCCAGCCGAGACGGCACGCAAAATCCACCAACTACGGTTAACCGGCTCATGAAAACAAAGGAACGTGCGAGCGCTACGGCTGCAGGATCTTTCAGGAGGGCTGCAGTAACTCCGAGTATCTTCAGCTACGCTCCGAGGTCGTCGGAAGGCAGGTGCAGACGGCTCGGCTCGGCCAGCAGCCCCAGCTGCAAAAAGCGACTTAACTCCGCCCCCAAGAGCGGCGCGACTTGAACCCGCGCCCCGGGCGGGGCCGGGCCGCCCCC